ACCCAAGGAGAACCGATTCACCCCCCCCCACAAAGTCCTCTTTTGATACGTTGCCGGTATAGGGGTCGACCAGCGGACATCCGCTGTTGGACAGCCATTACTGCCGAACGTAGATCAAGATGAAAAAAAAACAAAGTTATCTCAACCTCATCTCTTTCCCAACCCGTCATTAATTATTCATGCTGAAGAGCATTCGGCGGATTTCATGTCCCCTGCCCTTCCATTGTTTCGCCATTCTGATTGCTGCTAACTCATTCACAGTTTAGCAAAACATGAGGAAACTTTCCTGGTCGCCAATCCCTCTCATCCCATCACATTCGCCACGGTCTTTCAACTGATCCTAATCATGATTAAGCACTTTTGATGCGGCCTCCACGTGAAAGCATAGACTTTTTTTATTATTTCTGACAAAGCAGTCTTCGTTCCTAACCGAGTAGCGGTTATGACCGGTGCACATAGGGTAGTAGAAATGGCCTGCGACTGCCAGTGATTGTCTCGTTTAGAATCTGTTCAGTTTCCAAATCTGTCGGTACAATTTTACAGCGAGGCACACAGACGCGCCTGAAATTTCTTTTTATTTTGTTCGATTCCCTACGGGGATATCCTAGGACGAGCTGGAAAGCATAGAACACAATGTCTGCTAAAAAGTACGCACGAAAATGATTTCAGAACTTACCAACACATCCACTGACAATTTCGACTATTGCAGAAACCAGCCCTAAAGCCCCATCTTGGTACGGTTCACGGGGAGACCAAGACAGACCTAGGCAGGCTCACATCAGCACGCTAATCAGACGCCGGGCCACGTGGTAGACGCGCGTGACCAACGCGGATGCAAGATAACGTTACGGCATCTGTTATCGGGGGATAAGGGGAAGGCGGTGGAGAACCAATAACTGAAGCTACGCACGGGGGGTAAGGGTTGGTACGCTCAGTCAGATACCTTTTATACCGCTTTTGGTCTTCTTAATTTGGTCGTGGTACTGGACCCGAGAAGGTGACGTAAGAGAGAACACAAATCTACTATAACTATAAAATATGTCACGTACAAGTCATAGTCTCTACGCACACCCTGCTTTGGAGCACGGCAGGAGTTTCCTTGGTAGCGCACATATATTCGTATTTATATTCAAATGTCTACTCCAACGCTTACAGTAAGACAGCAACTTGGGGCATTTTACATGAGATATCACTATCCCAACCTAACCCTAACCATAACCCTAACACTTACCCTAACCCTAAATTTTAGCCTAACCCGTACCCTAACACTTACCCTAACCCTTACCCAAACCCTAACTCCAGCCCTTACCCTAACCCTAACACTTACCCTAACCCTAACACTTACCCTAACCCTAGCACTTACCCTAACCCTAACACTTACCCTAACACTAACCATAAACCTAACCCTAACAGAAATTAATTGTGTAGGCATTTAAATATAAATAAGAACATATGTGCGCTACCAAGGAAACTCCTGCCTGGAGCCCGTAGCGGACCTTATCGTAATCGACGGTTTATCTGGCCTTATATTGGAGAGAAAGGGAGCCTAAAAACTATTATATTTTCGGTAAAAATTTCTGGCCTCGAACTTTTCTAACAGCTACACTGTCTAGGACTGGAGTGACGACCGTCGGTTCCGACGATGTCCACCGCGTACTGAAGGCCAACGCGGTGACTTACATAGGAATTCGTTTAAAGTGATAGTAGACTTGCGCTGCATTTATCGCACTCTATCTTTCCTCATCCACATGTACCCGGTGTCAAGACAAAGTCAAGAGGACCGGAGGCGGGATCGCCGCAGGTGGCTGGTGCGAATTGAGCCTACAAATGCGCGTGCCACCATAACCTACCCCATGTTTGGCGTTTGTTATGGAAGCGCAACCCACATGATGTCTGACATAGCCTAATCTGACACGGCCTTCTTGGGTGA